AATCATTCAACCCATAGCAATTAAAATAATTAAAAGACCCGCTCTTGCCTTATGGTTAAAGGCGGGTCACAAACCGGATTTGCAATATATTAAAACATAATAAACCCTAAAATCCCATAAACATGCATAATAAAATACTAACCTATTTGATATGATAAAATCATAATCTGCCCATTATTGGTTATTTCTTGAAATATATATATAAAAAATAGAACTTTTATTTAATTACATGAAATTGGATAAAAAAAATGAAATTATTATGGAACCCTAGAACAGTCGCGTCACGCAGTACACATGGAAATGGACAGACAGTCATGTCCTACGCGGGGTTCTATAGATAGATACCATAAGTCGCAGTTGGCAGCTAGCTTCCTTATCCTTTTTTTTTATTATTCTGGGGTTTGCCTAATATGATTTCTAGTCACGCTTCAAGTCTGTTCTAAGTGAAGAACTATATCATTGGACTGGAACTCTGGTTATTGTCCTGTAGATCATCTAGAAACTAGTTTTGTCCTGTCACGCTAGCTGTTTCTATTGAACCGAAACAAGTCTGCTGTGAACGGAAACTTCTAGCTATGTGAACGAACCTTTTTTAGTTCGGTTTGGGCAGAACTACCATCTTAATATCAATCACAATCAGGACATGCTATTTGATTATATCATTTCTACACGTTTACGAAGCAGACGAAGCAATTAAATACAAAATAGTAAGCTATAATATTGATAACTGGCTACTGCGACAGCTGCGTCACGAAGAGTGGTCAAATCCAAGATTAAGAGCTTTTGGACATGAAACAGTCGACGTCAACGGCGCGTGGTAGTTAGCTGGACGAAATGAAAGGCGGCAAGCTTCTGGTCTGCCCAACTACCGATTTTCAACTACTCTTTTCTTACGTGTTCTTTTTATTGAAAGTGATTAAAACCAACCCAGGAGTGTTTCAACAATGGGCAAAAACCTACGTTTTTTATCAATAATAGGTCAACTAAACACTATGAAAATGAAATTTTTTTAGGAGATAAAAGTGCTATAAATGAAAAGGGAAAAGTCAGAATCAGTTACTGTAACTCCCAGATTTGAGCCCGACCGCAATGCCACTGATATTCATGCACTGATATTAGTTTAGAGATAACGTTTCACGATCCCAGAAGCGTGATCACCAAGTTCTTTCACAAAAATAAATCGTTTTCTTTCTTTTTCTTTTTAGAGTTCTTAGAGAAAAATGAGAGAAAAGTGAAAAGTCCCGTTTTTAACATAAAATGTTGTATTTATATGGGTAGGGCAATAGAACATAGTCGCGTCATGCCGGTTCTACCCGCGTGACGCAATCGCAAGTTGCGTGACGCAACTTATTTTTCGTACAGTTGCTGCATATCCATACAAACAGTGTAGGCCGTTGCGCGGGTGCGCGCCAGAGGTGTCAGCCTCGTTAGAGTTGCGTGACGCAACTAAGAGTGCCGTCGCGCAGGTAATAGCTGCATGACGCAACCCAAACCCGGGTCAGATTCCTTTGGTCTAGTTTGATTCAAATTTTGGTTTAAATACTTCTGGTTGATCGTGATACCTTACCCCTTATCCTCATATCATCATTGGGTTAGGTGGGGGCATAAAATCACGCGTCAACAGTTTGCAGGTAGTAGTGCGTGACGCAACCCTAAACGCGGGTCAGGCTCCTCTAGCGGTTTGGTTCAATTTTTGGTTCATTGGTTCAAACACTTCTGGTTTATCGTGATACCTTATCCCTTGTCCTCATATCATCATCGGGTCAGGTGGGGGTATAAAATTACGCGTCAACAAGCTCGCATTATGAAATTCTGATTGGCTAAAATATCAAACGTTTCAACCCCATACTCCCATAAATAATTAAGTTCGACAATCAAAAGTTGCAAAAACACACCAATTTTGTATTTTAGATTATTTGGACCAGGTACAATAACACACAAAAAAATGTATTCATCTTTCATACATTGAGGGTGGTAGATTATATGGTGTGACAATGACAGGCCATGATGAATATTGTTGTCCTGATTGGCCAAACGGCTGAAACCCATCAGTACAAAGGCTCGATCTCACATTTCTCATTCAGCAGCAAACACAGGATGATTGTTATCAAAGAGTTTCCAAGCTTCAAAGTCTGACGGATGAGTCATTATGCCATCCTCTTACTCATGCAAATCATGCCATCTCATGTGTTCAGTTATCCCCTTAGATGCATATAACCTTTGAAGGCGAAGAATAAGAGGGAAATAATACATCTTCTTGAAAGCTTTCTCTCTTTGTACTCTATCAATCCCTTGACCCTGCCGTTGATATTTTGGAAGATTACAAAACTTGCATTCTCTTAAACTTGCAGTTCTCTTAATTCACAGAGTCAACACCCCAGTATATCAATTACAATTATTTTGATATTTTGGAAGATTACAAAACTTGCATTCTCTTAATTCAGAGTCAACACCCCAGTATATCATACAATTATTTCGACAACAATCAATCTTTTCCACGGTTAGTCTTAATCCCCAAACTAATCGAAATATGCAAATGGTGAATATAGATATCATATTATATGTTGTGATAAGATAAGAAAACCAAAATCAGAGAAGTTAAGCAAACAAGTTGATTGTCACACTAAGATTCCTATCGCGCTTCAAGATACCAACATATAGATGGTGATAAAATTCGTGTCAATTCACATCCATGACATGGATCCATTAATATTTAAATTTATTGTTATTTATAGGGAAGTTAGTCCAAATATGAAGAGAGTACTCAAGGCTAATGATATTTATGGAATTAAATAATGCAATATCTTAAAAGGCACTTAAGGTTCAACCTAGTACGCCATAGAATTTGAGTTGCTTGATGTTCGTAATTATATTGAGATTAGAAGGGAGTTATGAGTGGAAGTTGGAGATATTGATGAAGCAATCTGTAAGTTTTTCTGTGACCTATTAAATACGTGAACTTGCGGATAGAAACGGGTTGAGTTGGAAATAGTTGAAAGCAAAATCTGCAAGTCAAATAAATGATAGATAATATAAATAATTTTAAATAAAGTACAATTATTTAAGACAAATAACCAATGGAATTAAATATACCAAATAACATAATTATGTAATAAATTTCACAAACAATAATATACTATCTTTGTTCCATATTTATTGTCACATTTGAGAAAATAACTTGTTCCAAAATATTTGTCACATTTGTGGTTTCAAGAAGTAATAAATTTTCTTTTTCATATTTACCCCTTATATATGACTAATAATTATTGTTTCAATTTTTCAAAAAAAATTTCTCTCTTTGTTTATTATTACCTATTTGTATTTCCAAAATCTCTTCATCGTTATATTTGGACAAAATGTGAGAATTGAAGAGTCCAAAATAAACGAAGAGCTTGGAAAAAAAATAAAGAGACGAATGAAATTCGAAAGGTTCAACTGCTAACAATACAAGGGGAGAATCTCTGCAATGCAGGTTGAAGATGCATGTGATTTGAAGTATTTTATAATATAAAGAAAATGGTAAGGGTTGAAGAGGATGCTAAAACACAATTGATTTAGAAATGATGATAGTGGCAGATTCGATGGACGATGAAAATTCAATTGAAGATAAATTTGTGAGCCCTGCGTACTCAATTAATGATGAAAGCGAAATTCTGATTGTTGCAGATTCAATGGATGATGAGTTTTTAATGGAATTTTAAATTTTGGCAGATAAACAAAAATTAGAATGAGTTTGGCAGAAAAAAACTCAAACGATTGTGATTTTAAAATTCCTAATTCCAAGTTACGGTAATTAATACTATTTCATTGGAATTTTCAAAAAAAAAATTATTCCATTTTATTATTTATGTAATCAATCATAAATTTAATTTGGTATTTTAATATATTAAATTAAAGGTAATATAGTCAATTTACCTAATAATTTATTATAATTTAGACAAATTTAATGATTTTCTTAAGAAGTGTAAAATTACAAATGTGACAAGTAATATGGAACAGAGGTAGTACTTAAATAGCCACATTTGAAAATAAATTTCTTATAATAATAATAATGTCATTAAATTTGTTAATAAGAAATCCAATTAAAAAAATTTAAAATACTTAGAAATATATACATGTACATATGTTATTATTTATGGATTTGGATGAGTACGTGGATTTACCTAATTAACTCGTGATCCAATCTAATGATTAAATTATAAAAATAAACAATCTCCAAACTCATTGCATTTTCAAACAAGTCATGTGCAGCCAATAATCAATTTTCATTATGGTTAAATAGAATTGGTAAACTGTAGTTGTCAGTTTTTCTGTTTTAATATCTAAAATTATTTATTTATTTATTTTTCCCAAGTATCAAAAAAAAAAATTCAATTAGGTGCATTTAACTAAAATTTCTTATTAAATACTAAAATAACTATTGTACCCCACATTCTTATTAAATACTAAAATAACTATTGTACCCCACATTTCGTTACTCCCTCGATGTCACCCTCTTTTTTTTTTTTTTTAGGGTTTCCAGTGCATTTTCTGAACTTTCATGGAAAACATAAGGATTTTTTTCAAATTTTTGTAAGAGAAAATTGGATAAATAAATGAATGGTTTTTTGTTATTAAGACTTCCATGCTTGCAACTTGCAAGAGCTTATGTAAAGATGGATTTGGCAATAATCTCCGTCACAGTGACTTGAAAACCAGCAAAGCCATGGAGAAACAAACTGTAGTTGGTATTTTCCCTAATACGGTTGTTTTCAAGAAAATATTTCTCAAGTGTTGTCAAGAAAGCAAATTAAACACACAAGTGAAAAAGACAACAACCAACTAGGCAAAAGACGGTGCAGATTTTGGGTCTAGCCTCTAGCCATCGAGGACAGTTCCACCAGCCAAATTCGTTAGTGAGAGAGCATATTATAACCGCACAGCTTGTTTCCAAGCTATTGATCCAAAGCTGCATCAAAGTCTAACTGCTATTATGACAACATAGCCATGGGATCATGACGTTATAGAAAGCCTCCTGATTCTATATATTGATCTGATTTCATATATGATTGAGCACCGCTATGAATCAGTATTACAGGTACACCGTAAAATACTAATACAACCAGAAAATACAAGTAAAAAAGACATTTCAATCTAAAAAGTAACCAATAATGTAATGAACTTGCCAGAATACAAATCGTAATCAATTTCCAAGTTTCACGCATTTGATGAAGTTGGTGCTCCAGATCCTGGAGGTGGAGGTCCAGAGCTAACAGATGGTGCAGGTGGATTCCTTGATGATGGCACAGAATGCTGGTGCTGGTGGCTGGCTTGTGGAGCTGGTGGTGGGGGAACTGCCGAGTGATATGGAGGAGGGTACTGCTGATAAGGTGGCATTGCTGGCATATATCCATATGAAGGATAAAGTTGTTGCTGATATTGCCCATGTGGGGGTGGCATGCCTTCATATGGATATTGCTGAGCACGCTGCCTCTCTAATACATTTTCCCCAGATCCTGATGGTCCACTGGGAGCCCCATCTTGAGATGGAACAACAGCACCCATTCTTTGAGGATCCATTGATGGATAAAAGGGTCTTTCATGCTGTGGTGGAGGTGGTATATTGAAGTAGTGCATTGTTTGAGGTTGGTCCTGAGTGCCAGGCGGATGTAATTGGTTTTGCTGCTGAGATATAACTGCCCGGGGTAACATTCCACTATGTGCCATTGCTGCCAGCTGCCTTGCTTCTTCTGGACCTTCTGACTCGGGTTTCGGCACTTGAGGTCTACCCCACATTAGCTTCAGCCTCAGACCCTTGATAACTAGCTTGTTGGAGAGCTCTTCTGCAGCCTTCTCAGCGCCCTCTCTAGTTGTGTAGGTCACAAAAGCAATTGCTCGTTGAGGCACCATTTTGACAGATTCAATCTCACCATGTGCATAAAACTGATCCCTCAGATCCTGCTCAGTGATCCTTGCGTCGAGCCCGCCTACATAGAGGGTTTTGATGCTTTCATCCTCTGGTGGCTCTAGTGAAGGCATGTCACCAGCCTTGTTAAGCAGCTTTAAAGCCACTGGATCATTCACTCTGAATAAATATAAAACAATAAGAAACACTATAAAATGTAAAGCAGGTCGCAAAAAACTAAATATCATTTGTTCTTGCAGCAAATGCCTATTTACTCAGCAAGATGAATGGGTAGATGGGTACATTCATGTGTTTCTTCCTTCTGAAGGCCTTTGGCACTACTCCAAAAATACATTAGATATTCACAAATTGAAAACAAAGCTTCATTTCTTTAGGACTCATTGTTATGGTTTCTGAGCCTAAAATGCATGGAGCACAATAATATTGTCAGGTCCACTGAATGAAACTATCCAACTATTGTGTATGGATTTACCCTTGCCCTATTACCAAGAATTTCCATTATAAATGAAAATGAAACTCACTTGAAAAATGAAACAAATAGAGTAGAAGTTCTAGAACATTAAAAAATGCTTGAGGGAAGTTGCCCATAAAAAACCAACATTGTATATAGGACTTTGCATTGCATCCCATAGTAATATGTAATTATTCAGTATCATTTTCAATTTCCTATGTCACATAAATGAGAAGCATTAAAGACAAACAATATACTGCTGCACCAAATTAGAACCACTCCCTCTGCCCCAGAACAATTGTTTAGTTTGACTTTGGCATGGAAATTAAGAAAAGTCTTTTGAATGGAGTGTTTTTTAGTTTTACCAATTTTATCCTTCAAACAGAAAGTAGCACAAAAATCAATGAGAGTTAATTTGAAGGATATTATTAACAAGATAATCCTTTGGCTTGTTAACTTTTAACTTAAATAGAATGGACATTTAACTTGCAACATCCCAAATTAATAATATGGACTACTATTTTGGGATAGAAAGAGTATTAATAATCTTTCACCACCATAGCAAAGATTGAAACATCAAAACTCAAAGAACTAACACAGATTACAACAAATAATAAAGAAATCTCCTAGACAAGCAAACTCCGTATGATCGAAAGGAAAATAAAGAAGCAACAAAATAATCCAGAAGTTTTGCCTCAGATAAAAAATTGATTTCAAAAAGCGATTGGATGTAAAGTGTGGTACACTTTTGAAAACTAACCAATTGCACAAGTTTGCCAACAAAAAACAAGAAATCTAGAACCCACATATGCATGTGCATAAGCAAGAGATAGAGAGATTATACATAAGACCATAGGAAAGAAATTAACCACTTGCACATACCCATAATAGCGATCCTTTATATTCTGTTGTGACAACTCCCCAGTTATTGGCATCTCATGCCTATAAGGGCACTCAGCACCTCGTGTGCATTCACCTCGAACATAGAAACTACAAACATGTGATCGATTTCTTTTATAGTATGGTGTCGTCCTTTGAAGCTTCAGAATAGTGTCATTTGGCCGCACCTTTCCATATGAAGATTCATAATCTATACCAGCTCTAGCCTGCATTAAGCAATTATCAACCTAGGTGTCAAAATATGAAAGACGAGACAACCAAACAATCTTCCAAGAAATAAGCCAATTAGATGAATCTCAACAAATTTTGAGCAGATTTAAACCAATGAAAGCAACCAACAGCAATAAACCGCAAAAAATAAATCTGATAGCTATGTAGCACAAAAATGCACATAATTATAATATATATTGAGCCACCTTATCCACATGCATACTGTGTCCCTCAACTATCCATGTCAAATCACATTAATACAGAAAAGAGAGAGAGAGAGAGAAATAAACAAGTCACTTTGATATGATTCGCTAGTTGATAACACCAACACAGTTAATTCAGGAATTTTATCAAGTGCAATATTCCAACAGTATATTATTCTGGACAGGAAAGATTAGAGACTAAATTTGTTTTAAAACATAAAAAGCATACCCTTCGGTCATGCTCCTCAGCAAAGTACTCCCTGTTGACATCGCTCTTTGGAATTGAATCATTGGAATTGATATGGAGAGCAGTATCTCGAACCTGAACTGGCAATCCATATTCAAGATCCAAAAGACATACTTGACAAACATTTTTCAACTTACTACACGTTTGGCAAATCTCAGTCTTCTTAAATCTTGCATCCCGACCTGGCCTCCACCTAAAAACTGTAAATGGCCGAGTACATATCTTGCATTCCTTGTCATAGTCAGCTTTTGTCTGCATCCAAATATACATAAAATAATAATTTAAAAAAAAAAAAAAAAAGCATTCTTGCATCCTTGTCAATAGTCAGCTTTTTGTCTGCATCCAAATATACATAAAAATAATAAATTTAAAAAAAAAAAAATTTAAAAAAAAAAAAAAAAGGGAAAACTTATGATGTAACATAACAGAACAGAGTTTACATGAAATTTACTGCAAGAATCATACATACCATACGGACATATGGATTGTCACCAAGACAAGACTCACAGATTATTGGAAAGTCAGAGCGTTCCCAACCATCAGCTTCCAGATCTCTTAACAATCTGTGTGCCATTTCTCTTAAGCCCTAGCTATGTAAACTCTCCAAAAACCTTGTATCTCTAGGTCCTCTGCAATAGGAAAAGCTTAGATGGTCACTGTGACGCAGGGGAAAAACTTAGGCAATTAACTCTCAATAATAGATTGATTGTGGTTGGAACAAGATAAGATAATTGGTTTAAAGAAACCCTTAGAATTAAAATTCTGAAATTAAAGGAAATAATAGAATACATAATCTGATAATTTTTGTCCACAAATCCTAATCATATATTAAAAAGTAATCCTAATTAGCTAATTCTTCTAGATTGAAAGTATTCTCATATAACTAATCCTAGAAAAAGTTGTGAACAATGGTTCAATTGCAGTGAGTTATATATATATATATATATATAACGAAGTAAGAGGCTGAAGGTGATGACAGAATAATAGAGAGCACAAAGGAGTGAGATGCCAACTCCATATATGCATTTCATCATCTGTGCTCTCTATCTTCTGTCAACATCACCAGCAACACCTCTCTTAAAATTAATTTATCATCATCATAAAAACATGTCTGTGTGTGTATATATAAATTGAGAGAGAGCTCCAAATGGCTCAGGAACTCTCCAAAACCTCTTATAGGAATGTGGGGAAGAAAGGAAAACACTTAAGCTGTGTGGGCAAAGAAGGAAGAAGAAATTGTCAGTGTGATTTTTTGTGCCAAGGATCAGTTGTTATGACAAAATGGATTCTCCAATGCCTCCACTTATAGGAGGAAATTAACTGCCCTTTTAGTAACTAGATTGTTACATTTTACTTGAGATTCTTGAATGGATACAACTTTATTTTTCTATATCTTATATGAGGAAATGATTATCTATATCTTAGAAATTATTTTTTAATTTTGCTTTTCAAGTAATTAATAAAATCTAAGTAATTTCTGCGGCAGTGTTAAAAGTGAAATGGTGGCAGCATTGTGTACATGCATTATGGTATTATATATTTATTTATGATTTTTTTTTTCAAGCATGCAAAATGAGCAATTGATTAGGCATGGCCGGTTCAGTGAACCGCCGGTTCCGGTTCGCTGAACCGTCGGTTTGAGATGTTTAAAATTTTAAACCGGAATCGACCCTTGAACCTCCGGTTCCGATTCCGGCACGGTTCCGGCGAACCGACGGTTCGAATTACGGTTTCGATTTGGTTCTGGCATTACGACGTGAAAAGAAAACTCTCGTTGCTGTTGATAATTCTCTAACCATTAAGAGAGAACTTATGGACAAAAGGCCAGAGTGAAGAAACATAGATCTACTGTCACGGTAAGAATTAGAATTGCCGCAACCAGGTAATTAATAACTATGGATCAAGCTACGCTTCCGTTTATTGTGTGTTCTTATTAAACAAAATTATATGAACAATAAGATCTGGGCTATATTAAAGTTTATCTAACAGTAACACCCATATAAGAATGAGTTTAACATGCATCATACCAAATATCACAACAAATAGCAATTTTACCATCAAAATTTGCAAATACATTTTTTAAAATTTCTTTTTTTTAAATAAATAGATAAGATAGTTCTTTTAAGTGTATTCCTAGGTGTCCTTTTTGCTTTAGGATTTAATGCTTTTTTACGATAGTTATTAAATCCAATTTTTTTCACAAATGAAAAAGATAATCGTTCCATACAAACCATTTAGCCATTTCAATTTTATTAGTTTCATCACTATATTTAAATAGAGGAGTGTTAGGATCATCATACCTTGATGACGATAATTAAGTTTGAGTTGCATCCATTCCTACCTTACTTGGATGATGTGATTTTAAATGCCTATTGAGAGTGTCATAGCCTCCTCCAAACTTGAATGCATATTCTTTTTTGCAATAATTACATCGAACCGCATTGATTTCTCTATTATCTTGAACAATTTTTGCAAAGTGCTTCCAAAGTGCTTTTGAAATATCTGATTTTGTGGTTTACCTATTGAAAATATTAGGAGATATTGCTTCTTGTGGTGAAAAATCAATCAATGGATCAATTTGAATCAATTTCTTTCCACGCTTTTGAGGCAACTAAGCTTTCCCTTGGAGCTTTGTGAATTGTGTTGCCATAATTTTAAAATGGAATTATGGGAAAAAATGAATAAATGGAATATGAAATTAATGGAATTTAGAAATTGAATGTAATGAAAAATAAAGCAATATTAAGAAAGTGAGGAGGAGAGATAGAATAATAATTGGTTGTGAAAAAAAAAAAATAATCAAACTCATCATATTTTTATACATAATTTTCATTTATGTACGTTTCCCAAAATTGTCCCTCTCATAACAGAAAAAAAACAAATAAATATTTTTGGATAATTTAGTAAATTATAAATAAAAAATAATTAATTAATTAAATTATAATAAAACAATTATATCCGTTTGAAGTTTGAATTGTTAATTGTATAGTAAATTGTTAATTGTAAACAAAGTTCAATGGCTATTTTTGATTATGAGCTTTCAAAAAAAAAGTGAAATGATTATGCTTCTCCTTTTTTAAACCAAAATGATGATGTTTTTTTTTTTTCACTATTTTTGATTATTGCAATAAATAATTTTGTTTGTGAATTCAGTTCGAACCGGACCGAAGCCGCCGGTTAACCGCCGGTTCTGGGCCGGTTCAGGTTCATTTTTTAACATTCACATGAACCTTAACCGGCCCTTGAACCGCCGGCCGCCGGTTCGGTTCAAAAATTTTGAAACCGCGGTTTCGGTTCGTCTACAGTACGGTTCGGTTCCGGTTCGGTTCCGGTTAGAACCGTAACCAAGTGGCCATGCCTAAAACTACAACAGCTTTCCTTAAAAAAAAAAAAAAAAAAAAAAAAAAAAAAAAAAGCCCGAAAACTACAAGAGCTCAAGGGAAGATTTAAAATCTTGTTTGTTTAATTGGTTAATTTTATTGATGAATTTGGGGTATTTATAGCGTTTATAAGAAAAAGGACCAACACATTTTTGCTCATAGTAGGGCTGAGCAAACTTTTGAAAAAACCGAAAAATCCAATCTAACCAAGTTATTTTTAGTTTTATCTTTGGATATCTTATTATAAAACACTTATTTTTAAATAAATCGAATCAAACTTATCAGTTAAATCTTGTTTTGAAATATACTTTAATATGACTCCGTTAAAAAAAATTTTCACTTTTACGGTTTTCATTTAAACCAAAACACTTGTTTATTTTACTCGTAGGGGTAGGTTTCCCTAAACTTATCAAATTGGTGAAAACATTTATGATCTATTTCCACCTCTTTATTGCTTCATATGAACGTGATATATATATATTGTAAATATACTATGGTTTTTTCAAATAATTATAATTAAAAGTTTCAAGACACTTGGTCAAGTAGTTTTGAATTTGCTTTCTACTTGGTTTGACTGCATGAGAATTTTAAAAAATTATTTAGATTTGATATTATGATTATATTTTATAACTTTCTATAGTAGCGTTTCATTTATTTGTATTCCTCAATAAAATGACTAAATTTTTTTAGTAATCATATTTTATATAATTTTTAACCATATGTCTTTAATTTGAAACTATTTAATAATTGTATGTTAATTGAAATTATCGTTTTTAAATTAAATTCAAATCTTATCCTGCATGTAATTTAGAGAATAATCTATATATAATCTTGAAGCAATAAATATTTTGTAAATGCTTACGCAACTCTCTCTTTTCTTAACATTCTATTTTTCTTGTTTTTAGAAATTTTTGGACTTTTTTTATTTATTTTTCTATGTTTGAATGTTTTTATTGAATATATATATTTCAAATTTCAAAAAATATTTTTCTATCAATAGATATATCACTTTGAAATTTTTGAATATTTTTTTATCTACAATATACTCACATCCATATATAAATATTTATATATTAAATCTAAAATGTTTGCATTTAGTGTTATTTTCAGCGGTAGGTATAATTTCTACAATGCTTCAGTTTTGATAGGTATATATGCTAGGGCTGGGAGTCTTTTTTTTTTTTTTTTCTTTCCAGACTGATCATGGAAAGAATTTGTTGCTGTAAAAATGGGGTGAAAGTAAACCCCCATTGTTAGTATGGCAACAAAAGAAGAAGGAGAAAACTTTGGTGTTTTGACCCAAAATAGCTTTGTCTTTTTTAATGGTTGTGATGTTCTCTCTTCTTGTATTTTCTTCCTTCTCTAGATGGTTTATCATATATATATTGCCGTTCTCTAGATGGTTTATCAATATATATAATTATATTATATATATATATATATATATATGGTGTCCACTTGGATGAGTTGCATATTAAAAAATGTACAACTCTCTTAGAACTTTAAATTTTAGATTTTTGGATAGACATTTCAATTATTTTATTGGTATGAGATATAAATATTTTAGATTTAATTATTATAACCTCATATTTAGTGATTTATGATTGAACTGTGGTCAAGACATATGTAATGAAACTCCTCCAAGATAACTTCTTACACTTAAATAAAAAGAGGTGCAGCATCAGTCGGAAATCAATGGAGTATCTTAGGCATATCATCTCTGCAGCTAAGGTAGCAACAGACCCATCAAAGATATCTAGAATCATTTAATGGCCAATTCCTAAATCAATTGAAGTTATTAGGGGATTCTTTCGACTCACAGGTTACTATTGAAGATTTATTTCCAATCATGGTTAAATGGTAAGACCATTAACAACCTTACTTAAAAAGGAAGCTCACGGTGCACTCAATTGGACTCCTGCTCAACAATCTTTTGACACACTAAAGCAAGCCATAATCACTTCTCTGATGCTGGCAATGCCAAATTTTTCTTGATCTTTTGTGGTAGAAACTGATGCTTCAAAAACTGGAGTGGGAGCTGTGCTAATGCAACAAAATAAGCCAATCACTTATTTCAGTAAAGCCATTGGAAATCCTGCCCTTACTAGATCAGCATACGAGAGTGAGCTAATGGCCTTAGTGTTGGCCATCCATCATTGGCGCCTATATTTAATAGGCAGGAAATTCACCATTAAAACAGATCAAAGGAGCCTCCGCCACCTTCTTCAGTAAGAAGTATCAACTCCGACACAGTAGCATTGGTATATGCTAGACA